TACAAGAACAAATAGCCTGCACTCATTTCAGTTTAGTCTTTGTGGCGAAAAATCTGGTCTTTTGTTGTACCTCATTTTATTTTTTCATCAGATACACCCGTTATCTAAACCTGCTACCCACCTCCTTGTTTCCAGGTGGACTTGGAAACAAATAATTTGGCAGCGGTCTGACATAATAGCCACAAACAACTATTATCTAAATTCAAGGAGTTTAGAAAAGTATCTAAAAAATACACTTTAAAAAAAAAGAAGAAATTCTTACTTTTGAGCTAGGATCCACTAAACAAGTAGTATGGCTTACAGCAGTGGCATGTAACACAGTCACTCCTTAGACACTTTGGCTGAATTTTATATATATATATATATATATATGAAGAGTTCAAATGCAAAAGCCTCTAAATGCCATTTGAAATTTTCTTCTAAAATGATCATTTTTATCAAGCTTGTATATTTAAGTTCAGTAATTTCACTTAAATGACTTCCATTTAAGTGAAATTACTGAAATTAAATATACAATATAAATATACAATATATATATACATATATATATACTCTTCATATATATATTAGGGGTGTAATGTACCCGCATGTCACGATTCGATACATATCATGATACTGAACTCACGATACGATATTTTGCGATACTGATGAAAGGTTAACAAAAAAATGTACAGTTGATTAAAATGCTAACTTTGATAATACATTGTGGGTTTAAATGAATCGGCTTGGACTCAGTGCTTGTAACCCAAGGAGAATGGTGACACCAGAATAACAATATTCATGATTCTAAAGCTGAAATTACAGAATTATTTTAGACATATATTCTTGCACTTTTTCTGACTATATATATTTAGATTTATTTAAAATAATGTTGGACACTTTTTACTGGTCAAATTACACAAGTCGTTTGGCAATATCAGGACCCACAAATATTTCCCCATTGCATTATTATACATTATAATCAACATTATATATATATAGTAGTTTAATGTAGTACTGACAACAAAACTTTTGTGAGAATTTTACGATACCTCGAAACGATACCTCATTTAATTTGCTCTGGATAAATATTGTTGGCGTTACAGGGCTTGAAATTCGGCATGGGATTGCATGTATTGCACATAATTTTACTCATTCCCACAGATTTTGTGCTCACACCCAAAGTGTGCGCACATAAAGCCACCTCTCAGTACCGAACTGAGTACTATGTAAACATAAAACCAACCATGTCTGCATTTATGATCAATGACAAACAAGTGCTACTCACAAAACTCACATTTGAATAGTGAGTAGCAAATTCTTAAAACATGCATCACAGTTTAAAAATATTATCTTCTTTTGACATTGATAAAAAGGATAAATGTTTCATAAAATCAACATATTAGAATAATTTCTTAAGGATCATGTGAAACCTAAGACTTTTAACATTTTTACTTTTAACATTAACAACAATAGAAAAAAGTATATATATATATATATATATATATATCTTTTTTTTCTATCAAATAAATGCAGGCGGCCTTGGTGAACATTAAAGGCTTCTTTCCAAAATATTTGAAAAAAAATACTGAAAATGATAGTGTATAATTATAGAGAAATCTGTACAAATAAAATAGGTTTTCTGCACTGTTAGTGTCCGGACTCCTAAAATCACTCAAACAATTAGATGAAATTGAGGACTTTGTGTGCAATTTGCATCAGATGTTCAGTGAACAGACTTTGGGAGGTCTGTGGGCATTGCCATCTGAGGCTAATTTCAGTTTGACTTGAAGCTATTTTACTCCTGTTGCATTGCGATGAGATGGTGTCGCATAGAGTAACTGGAATTTTGATCAATTTGATTAAGCAGCTAATCACAAATGTATATGGATTCAATTTCCTCTCCGCCAAAGGAGGGCACTCATCCAGAGCCCTCACACATGACACATACATAATAAGTTGGAAAGTGTTGACATCGATCACCTTGAAATCGAGATGAAGTTCTATTAGCTGAGCGGTGGATCGCATTAAAACACAAAAGACAAAAAAGGGGAGAAGGAAGAAAGACAGGGCTCATCGTGCTCGTGCTCGGGGAGGCATTTTGGTAACATAAATTACACGCTTTCCTTCCTGTGCCCCCTGCCACCCTGAAAGGATAAAACCATCCATTAATCTGTCATTACCTATCAGGAAGCTGGCAGGCAGGCAGTGACAGCATCTGCCGTCACCCCCCGCCCACCCTCTTTCAGGAGAGGCACCTGAGAAGCAGAAGTAGGGGTGGAGGTGGGCTTATCGGGGGCCAAGCTGTGGGTCTCTGGCTCTGGGGCTTAACCATTTGACATTGCTGGCAGATTATTCACATACAGCTCAGATCCGTAATAACATAATGCACAAATTTCATGCCTTTCAGCTGCATGTGGAGATGATGAGATTGTTTTTGGCTTATCGGTTTTTATTACATTTTTTTGGACAGTTAAATGCATTTGGCATTTGAATCCATCCAGGATATTGGCAAACGATGTACATTTTCTGTTGCATAATGCTCTACATCATTTTTAAACATGTTGGGGGAAAAAAAATCAGAGGCCGTCGTTTCTAATTTGTTAAGCACATGCAGATGCTTTACAAGCTAAAAAAGTATGAAAATTCATGAGATTCAGCATGTTGTGCAGTCATGTCCCACTACATCTGTACAATATTCAGGAATAAAGATTCCTGATTTGTGCAGGAGTCATCAGATCCATCTGCCCTAAATTAGTTTTTGCTATACTACGTTTTTATTGGTGACAAATTAGAAAGTCACTAACACTATTCATTAACTACCCCAATTCAGTTTAATTCGCAAACACGCCTAAATATGATAAAACCATGCTGCAACTGATTCAAATTTAGTCACTAATAGGAATGCAAAGATCAATGCTAATTATTTGTATTTATTATGACCAATATTCTAATCAATTTCAAGTTTTCAGATTCAGATTTGAGATTCAGATTCAGACTAAATTCTGATTTGTATTCTTTGTGATGTGTGAAAAGTATTGATATTGAAAGTTGATTGTTTGCACCTGATTCTGTTTTTTTTTTTTTTTTTCATAGTGTGATTTTTGGGGAATTGTATGTATTGAATCCAAATGGACTACATTTGACCCCCCCTCTTTTGTATTCAGAATTCGAACATAACATGAGGGTTAAATTCACATACACATAGTACTAGAAAAGAAAAAAGAAAACACATTTACAGATTGTAAAATACACACCGATGTCTATGGGAGCAGTAATAATAATCCCTAAACTTGTTTTATATATATATTATATCAGATAGACATTGTGTAGGTAACTATACATTTTACTCTATTCTTTTCCAAGTTTTTCCAGCTTTTCTGGCCAATTTTATGTCTTTCGGAGAAAACAACTCTGATTCTCTGTATAGCAGCGTCATCCATCGCCCATTATAGATAAATATGATCATTATAAAGATATTTACCGACAAAATATATTTACTTGCACGTATTTGTGAATCAGATCACTATCATGTATTTATTGCTGCAGAGAGGCTGTACAGTTTTAATAAAAGAATGCCATATGGTGCATACTTCAAAACCTATAGCACTCATTTCTGTCTGTCATCACTGATTTTGTGTGCGCATTTGCACAGTTACGCAATAATGCCACTAGACTTGCAAAGTGAATCGGGTGCGAAAACTATGCATACAAATGATGCCATCAACCGGCGCAGTTCATTTGTAAGCGTTTCAGTTTAAAAGCACCAAACTCCTAGTCCACAGCACACAGCAGAATGCCTAACAAACACCCAATACAATTATTTATATCCTCTTATGTAACGTCAAGGTGGTCAGATATATGCAATGAGAAAGAGTGTAGGTGTGACGATTCGTTATATGGACTGAAATTTGCCAGGTTTTTCTAGCATTAACGACAGGGTAAACTCTATTTTGGATTTGCTAAGAGATGTAATTCACCATTTAGCAGTATCCATGTGCCACTTCACCCCCTCCTTATAGAGGAATCCAAACTAACATCATGTTATTGTATAGAGAGGTAGGCCTATTATTTGCACAGATAAAATCCTGGTGACAGAACTATCCTTCACCACTGATGATTGCAGCTTATTGCCGGGAATCAGTACAGAAATATTTTCCTAACAGCTTTCCTCTTGGCACACTCTCCAGGCAGAGTTATTTTTAGTAACTCAAGTGAATCACTGGAATCAAAGGAGAGAACTGACAAACAATGCAAAAATCACAAATTGTTGCACAGATTCAATAAAAGTTGTCATTTTAAACAGTATGTAATATGTTCATTATCACAGAAAATAATTTTGACTTGGCCATCCCCCCAAAAAACATAAGTAAACTGGACCAGTGTACTGCACTGTAAAAAAATATTGATGGTTTAACTTAAAAAATTAAGTAACCTGGTTGCCTTAAAATTATAAGTTCATTAAACTGGAAAAAGTGAGTTAATACAATGAAGTAGATTCATTTAACCATTAGAAACTCAAAATAATAAGTTATCTCAACTAAATAAATTATTATAAAGTTGATTTGACAAAAGAAAATATGTTGTGATAACAAATCTTGAAAATATTTTTTACAGTGATGTGGGGTTTCAGATGTGTTCATAATGGAGCAGTATATATTACATTTAATGGATTATTACTTATGTTTTATTGTAATGTACAATACAATTCAAAGGTTTGGGGCCTGTAAGATTTTTTTTTTTTTTTTCAGAAATTAATATTTGTATTCAGCAAGGACGCATTAAGTGATTAAAATGTACAGTAAAGACTTTTACATTCTTACAAAAAATATATATTTAAAATAAATGCTATTCTTTTGAACCTTCTTTTCATCAAATAATCATGTGTCATTGAAGACTGCAGTAATTTACATTTAATAATATATTCAAGTATTGATTTAAAATTATACTAATATTTCTCAATATTGCATCACCTATTAACAAACTGCAGTGATTTTAATGAATCTTCTCTCTCCCTATAGACAGATTGCTCCAGTGACAGTGAGAGCGAGGACAACTTTATCGTCATCCCTCCTCGTGATCACCTAGGCCTCGCTATCTTCTCCATGCTCTGTTGCTTCTGGCCTCTGGGCATTGCTGCTTTCTACTTTTCTCAGGGGGTAAGTGCAGAGCCCACCTACCAAATCCATAGCCTAACCATTAAGCCTGCTAAAAAATCTGCTACGACATAAGAGAAAGCAGAGATGAATTCTTCAACACTTTTCCATCTGTGCCCTCCAAACAAACCTGTAGTCTCCTGAGAGAAAATTGTTTGTGATCTCTATCAGCTCCTTCTAATAATACAGAACAGCTTCATTATAAAACCCATCATACGAGCAAACAGCTCTGCTTGCGTGACTGCAAAAACGACCAGGCACTCCTCTAATATAAATGGTGTATACATGAATGCACTGATCAGATGGGTGTGACCATGATGATGTGCCATGATTTCAGCTCCAATTTCTCATTCAGCACAGGTCACGTCAATTTGTCTATCTCAGAATGAGCCTTTTTATTCTTATCTATAGTTCAGTTTGTGGCAGACACGGGCAGAGTGAATTATTTTGTCAGGAGCTAAGTGAATTCTCCCAGAGTAATTATGATGATGGTGGTGTTGTTCAGAAAAGGTTCTCCAGAATGCAACTTCTGTGTGTGTGTGTGGATGGAAATGAGATATAGTGAAAATGCGAATGTTTTTGCCCTGTCTCCTGGTTGGGAATATTCCTCGGAGAACATCCTGAACGGATTTTCTCACCTTCCCCGAGGCATAGGGTTGAATGTTCATGAGAAGTGTCGCCAAGCAGTTGCTTCGGAATCCTTCCTCTTAGCTTCCACCTCTGACTTACTCTTACTTAACCATAACTAATTAAGGACTTTGGATTGTATAGGACTTATGTTAAAATCAATATCGATATTTCTGTTCTACACCGGCCATGACACATACAGAGCCCATGGTATACAGTATGTTGTCAAAGTGCATTTTTGAGTGAGGAACACAAAATTATAATTTACAGTATGAAAAATGGATATTCATTTTAGATGTGCTTACTGTCACAGTCCGTCGTCTTCACCTGTTTGTCCCGTCATCTGCACTACGCTTCCCCGGATCCTTTTGTTCCTCTCCCGGACTCACTCCCCAATCAGCCACCTGTTCCTCGTCCTGTCATTATCATTTTCACCTGTGTTCACCTCATTAGTCCTGATTCCTCCGTGTATTTAGTTCTCCCTCCTTCAGTCTGTCTTGGTCGGTCAATGTTGAACGTTACCCGGTGTACCCCGTCTTCCTGCCTGTATTAATGAAATAAATGCATCTTCCTTGTGACTCTGGAGTCCTCCCGTTCCTTCTGCCTGCTCCACACCCGTGACACTTACATTTAAGTGTTATAAAATTATTAGTTTACTTAACTACATAAGAGGTGTAAAGTGTAAATCATATTTAAGTACATATAAATTACAGTGAAAATGACTAATGAGTAAATGTCTTAGAGGATCTGATTAACAGTACTTAAGTATTTTACTCACTCTAAATTTAGGCTCAAATATGCACTAGTCCTCAACACCTAAGAGACATGCCAGTGAAAAACAAGAAACTCTTGTGCAATTGCGTTAATTTTCTGCAATCAAAAGTACTCAAAAAGAATATAAGTAAACGAATATAATTCAAAATTGTCTAATGTTAAGTTAACTATAATAAAAAGCCTACTTGTAAAATGTAATGAAGCAAACAAACGAACAGTGTCTTGCTGACACAATCTGACTGGAACTTTTTTTTAGAAATGAAGTTCATCCACCCTTTCTTAATGTTAGGATTACAAGCAAAGCAAAGACTGTGGCCATGTTCACACACTAGAAGAATAAGGTTGTCAATCCTGTCCTTAATTACGTTTTCCCACAGTTGAGCTATTTGCAGGAGTGACAATCACATTCAATAATCAAACACGCACCCATAAATTTTCAGGACCCGCATCCACTTTCTTGGAAAACCCGCCCTGTGTAAGCGGAACAAGACTGGACAGCTAATTGTCGGTCACGTCATACAGTGCGAGAGAGCCGTTCTGTGCTGCACAAACGTGTGTCTACCATGTTTTGCGGGTTTTCACGTGTGGTTTCGGTAACTTACAGCGATGGAGATATGAGCTGTGTCATATGAAGGTTTTAGATCAGTCATTGTTCACCACAGGAGCTGCTCCCGTCAGTTTTGTGTTCTACGTGTGACTCAAATGCTCAACTCTCCACCCAGATATAAAAGTTGTCAATTTAAAAAGATTTGGCGAAGATTTGATTCTTTGATACTACTTTGGTCACTGTTGCTCAGTGGTTCATGTAGATTGTCTACAAAGCAAAAGGTTGGTGGTTCAATACCCAATTCCACCTGACCAAGTGTCAAGTTGTCCGTGAGCAATACACTTAACCCCAGCTGGGTTAGGTTATAATGAATGGGTCATTGTGAGGCAAAAATGTAAAACACTTTGGTGGCCATTGGGTCTGTAAAGCGCTATATAAATGCACTCCATTTACCATTTACCATTTTTGAGCTTGGTTCAATAACAATGCTGTTTTGAGTTCTGGAACTTACAGGATATTTGTCAAAAGATCAAGGAAAATATCATTTCTTAATTCATGACGCCTTTAATCTATCTCCCAGCCTTACAGGAAATGTTTGTATAAGAAGATGTCTTTAAATTTAAAGAAAAGAAAAAAAAAAAACATGTTAACATGGCAACTCAGCTGGTGCACCAGCGCTGGTGTGTCCAAGCAACCCATTATTGACTGTCACAAAGCGTAGGAGTGAAAATCAATAGTGTTTTCCCTGGACAACAGAGTCGGATGCAGTGACAAAGAGAGCAAGACACCTCCCACAGTGACAGCCATGTGTGACTGGCAACTCTTTCCACTTTCTCATGAGGATACTAAAATAGACACCAGATTCTGAGAGGTCATGAGACTATCACAAAAAACGACTGTTCGTGTTCAAAGTATGTTTGCTTGCTTACACATAGCGGACACCACAGTGTGGGGAATGTTGTGCATAATTGTGTCAGTTTAGTTATATGCACATTCTACAAAAATTCCCCCCATTTAATTCATCCAGCCCTTGAGCCATGTTCTTGGTAAATGAGCATCATAGTAGGATTTAATTATTCATTTGAACTAGGAAATGGTTTGATTAAAACTATTACACATGGGGGCTCCATAGGGCTTGCTATTAAAGAAATTAAACCAGTGTGATGTTCCCTTTTCAGTCTAATAGCTCTCAGCACAGCATACTTCCAGCATGTGGTTGTATGGAAAGTGAAACATTAGCATTCGCCATTTCAAGTCACATGTCACTTCTTTGAAACGCTCAGGGGGTAATAGTATAAGATTGGATGTTTTACTCCATCAAGCAACCGTGTTGTTATTTGTTTGAGAGAATGTCGAGAGAACAATTGCTGAAAATGTATTTTCTTCTGATATTGGCTTCGCATTTGGCTTATCCCTCCCGACACTGGCCATTATAACAATAAAGAAGTTAGTTGCTAACATACAGAATGCCCGTGCAATGCCGGCTTCCCCTCGTATCTCTGTTGCATCACTGATCGAATGCTCATTTTTAACAAATTTGATACACGATTTTGCATCAAAACAAAAATAGAGAAAAATGTGTGAATGGCGATTTTTAGCATTCAGTCGTATTCTTCGATTCATTAAAAGGGTGATTATTTTTTTTCAGTGGCAGTTTGCATATCAGCATGTCATAGGCTCTATGCGCAACTTACTTCCGCATTCTGTAAAACAGATCGCATAGCTTCCGGTTCAGGTCTTTTGTATGTGCTTCATGAAACTTTTCGCGGTTTTACTCAAGATAACTTAAAAGGAGCGAGCAAAGATTAGCATAACCAATGTCCCTCACATGTGCAGATTGATATTTAAACGTTTTATATTTCTTCTTCTTCACAGTAACGTTTAGATATTTAAATGGAATAAAACGCCAATAACAAAGTGAACTAGGTAGGTTAGCTGATTACCTTAAAAATCCATAGATATCGTAGTCAGTTCTTACGACCGTTAACACTTTCTCTGACAAGCAGATGCGATGACATAAAGCCTATTAATCATTAAATTTAGACTATAACCTTCTTTACACTAAAAATATAATACAGAATCTGAATCAGTGTATGTACCGAGAAGTGGTCTATTTACACAGACAGCACAGTGCATCACATATTTAAACGTTGACTATTCACTTTCATGGACAAATATTAAAACAAAATCAACTGGAATATTAAAAGATGCTAATTCTTTCTCTCGTCAACAAAGACTAAACATAAGACGAAACAAAATAACCTTAAATGTCTTTGTTCGTCCTTTGTTTCCTGTCGGATAAACTTGACTTTTTATGTCCTTTATTTTTTTTTAAATGTGAATTAAAAGACATTTTAATTTTTTTTTAAGGATCTACAGATACCCTGCCTCCTGAATGTGTCCAGAATCTATTTTTATGTTCTAGATGCATTCAGCACATCAAATGTGCCAGTCATCATTTTTACCTAAAAGGTTGGTTGCTTGAATTTATACATTCAAAAGGGTACCATTTTTTGTGACACTGCCCTGCAAAGTGGGTCGAATGGATTTTTAATATGCCATGTGACTAAGCGTAAGATGTCTTGCCGATGTGCGTTAGAACACATCTAATTTTCCATTGAGCCCTCAGCATCATCAATGAAGCACTATATAGTTCAAAGCAATTTATCCTTGAATGGAAAACAGGTCAATGTGTCCTTTGATCTTGTCCTTTCTCACCATTCCTTTTCTTTGTTCCAGACCAGCAAAGCCGTGACTAAGGGAGACTTCCCATTGGCGAGCATTGCATCTAGACGAGCCTTGTTCTTGGCCGCTCTCTCCATCACCATTGGGACGGGGGTCTACGTGGGAGTGGTGGTGGCCCTCGTCGCGTATCTGTCCAAACCAGGCCACATTTAGCACGGACAGGAGAGAACTGCAGAACTCCACGATACTACACAACCACCTCTGAACGTCTTTTTTCTAAATGTCTCATTCTCATCCCTCCCCGTGGACCGCCTGTCCGTCCAAATCAGAGAAAGGGATGAAACAGAAGAGGATGCACCAGAAGAACTGGGGACTTTATCACCCCAGTCAGAATAAATAAATGTAAGCTTCACCTCGTGTCACACCACACTGGATAAAACTTAACTAAGTCTGAGAGCAGTTCAGGTGAAGAATACAAAGTACAGACAAATAAGCAATCCAATTAACTGAAACCAAAGGGAAGCTATTTCAAAGGACACCCGTAAGGATCAAAAGGACCAAGAGCCCTTGGATTTGTTTTTCCCTTTATAACTGTGCTTCGTTCGGAACCTGAAAGAGAAGTCAAGCTGCTGTCCGTTTCTCTCTCTTTACGTGCGTAGTCTGGTAAACCCTGTATGTGCGTGTGGCCCAATTAAACCAGCACTGCTGAATGAATACACCAACTGCAGTCTGTGAGCTCTGTTTAAAAGGATAGAATGTTGTCCACCCTATTTAGGCAAAATAACACAGCCTTGTATGTTATAAGCAAATGTGGAGTTCATGAATCTAAATGCGTATGATCACGATACAGAACAACAGGACAAGAAATAACTATCAAAGACATTTCACCTCTAAGAATTGATCTGTGAAATTCAGCTTACACAACCTCTATGCTTTGTGTTGTAAATGTCTTTTGTTTTGTCCAAAGTTGAAATCTTCATTTTGACTCAACGAAGGCTGCAAGGTTTATGTGGGCGAAGAAAGATAGCACATAAACACGAATGGGAAACAAGGAAATCAAGCGTTGATTTTATATTGGTAATGATTTGCTTGACTTCAACAAATTCCCTGAAACTGAATATTAATGAAACAACTGTGCAAGTCGATGACAAGGTGGTCTGTCCACATATTCCCCAAAAGCATCACTTAATGTCTCATATGATTGGAAAAATTCAGAGGTGACAAAACTCCAGGCAGAAGGTAAAAAGAAAATGACAATATACTTTCCTCAAATCCTAAGACAGATGTTTGAAAAAAAGGCAAGCTTTGTTTTCAAGTGAAAGAGCCTCAGATTGAATCGATTAATAATGTATTGGATGGCTGTAAGCTCACGAGCATGTGAACGAACACAGGGGATGTTGAGTTAAAGGTCGACTGGTCTATTTCAACAACAATGGAGCCTGAATCTGGTGTAGTCAGAACTTCAAAACATAAAAACAACGGGTTCCCTGGTGGCTAGGTAGTGTTTTGAGGCTTGATTTGAATTCCTATGATTATGAAATAGAACTTAGTTGGAAGCTGGTAGAAATTAAATTGGCCAATTAAATTTTGAAGTATGTTAGCCAATTGTGCGTAACCACCTAATATTGCATCCCATGGTGACTTGGAATACCCAATGGTATTCAATGCTTTTACATTTGCATTGGTATGCCTTTCAAGGGCTGGACTGACAAACTATTCATAAATAGATCACCCAAAAATAAGGGGGGAGGGGGTAAATCGGAGTCATGTCAGTTATTTAACATTTGTGTTCATGCGTACCTTCTTTAAAATTACAGTACCGAAAACAGTTTGATTAGAAAAAAAATATTTTTTTTTCTTTAATACTTTGTACCAGTTAAAATAACTACATACCAAATAGCTTTATATAAAAGCTTGTGAATAAACCTCGTAATTCCAGTGGATCCTCAAACTGTCGACAAATCCTCATACAGTATACTTTATATCTCTACCCACCTCAGTCATGAATGGTTTTGAACACAAAAAGAAGATATTTTGGAAAAAAAATGTTGGTAACCAAACAGTTGGACACTATTGGCTTACATAGTATTTATTTTCTCCATACTATGGAAGTCAATGGGGTCCATAAACTGTTTGGTTACCAACATTTTTCAAAATATCTTCTTTTGTGTTCAACACAAGAAAGAAATTCAGAAGTTTGGAACAACTTAAGGGAGAGTAAATGACGACAGAATTTAAATTTTTGGGTGAATTATCCCTTTAGATAGGATTATTCATAGGACAAAACTTCCTTCATCGTAAATCAATGCCAATTAGACAAGGCAACCTCATCAACATGGTACAATCAGACAGCATTAAGCGTCATATTACTAATATGCTCTTGAGAAAATTCTTAAAAACCTTCTTTTTTAAAAAAAAGTAAAACATAATAGCTGACAAGTACAGGTTGCAAATGTTTTCTGAATTCTGGAGAAACTAATTCACAGAGACTTAAAGGTGTGTGGAGAACTGTTCATTGTGAAAAGAGCACAATGGTAAAGGTCATGCTTTATGTTAAAGAGTGAGTACATATTATGGAAGTACTGAGCTACAGTAAGGAACCATTTTGACTTGGAGTTCTGTTGTGAAGAAGCCTGGAGTTTTGCATTATTGTTATTATACTGATGAATAATATCAATGTGTAAAAAGCGTTACCAGATACAAATAATTGAAAATACATGATCTCCAATAAAAGAGATTTTTTTTTTTTTTTTTTTGATGTGATGCTTTTGTCAAGGTTAGCAGATTTACTCATTGTCAGCACTGTAATTGGAAAGACAATGTTTGTGAGAATGAATTCACTGAATCACCAAGCTTTTATTAGACAAGAATGAGCTCAAATGAAAAACGAGCGTATGGATGGAGACTTTACAGTTAATTCACCGTTCATATCTGTGCCGTAAGAACTAATTACCCTTAATGTTTAGTAAATGGCACCAAAATGAGATTTCACTCTGGCTGATAATAAAAATGAATTCGCATACCTGTCATACCAGAACTTTTGTAGGTTGTTTATGCAAACACCACCCTATATTCGCATACTTGAAGTCGTATATAGCAGAATGCACAACAGGGAAGAATGATGCTTGGATGACTTTCTCAGAGCCTATGATGCACAGCACACACTCAAGACCCTGCTGGTTTTGTTGCGGTCTTCGGCAAATGCATTTTCACTGCAACCACCAGAGCATTGAAAGCCAACATGGGACACTTGCAGTCTCTCAGCACAGGTCATGCATTAATCATACCTGACATTTACGGTTCACAATTAGCTTCCCATAATGGCTTTTTCTGAGGAAGTGTCTAGTCTCCAGAGCATAGCAGGAAATAGCAAAACAGAATTGTTTTTACAAATAACACTGCTACTTTGCAGCCACTGAAGCTTGAGCAAGCAAATCTTTGCTATTTTGAAGTGAGAAAAAAAAAAAAAGCAAAAACTAAAATTGATTGTAATGAAAATGGATTTTACTTTCAGGAAAGGTCTCAAGCCATTAACATTTTTTTCTCATGTGTTTGCGTCATTAATTTCTAAATAAACAGTGTCAGTTGGTGTCTGCCCTCGCTTGATTATGTATCAGCCTGCACCCCCCCCCCCCCCCCCACACACACACATTTCATAGTGACTAGTTGTTTTGTTTTCTGACATTCATTTTATGCCAGTGCCCGCAGTGTTTTGCTGTTAGTGATTTGTTAATATTGTGACACTTGAGTTTTTCTCATTCATGATTAGAATGTGCTTGTAAGACAGTGACAATGTAAATACTGCAAATGAAAGACGAACAAGCGGTATAAAATAAATAATTTGAGACAAAAATAATCTTGTATCTATTATTGCAAATGCTGGATTTGTTTTTGCGTCTTGTGAAATTTTGATACGCTGTGGTCCTTACGTGTGAATCTTTCTTGTCAGGAACAAAACAAAAAAAAATAGTCAGACTAAACAGATGGATGAGTCATATTTGAGCATAGCAGAGGAGGGTGTATGGGGGAGTAAGAATGGAGCTCCCCCCCCTTCCTTATTTCCATATATCAACACCCACAAAATCGTTTAGAGGAAATAAAAAGAGGAATGTTGACATATTTGATGTATCAGCAATTTGATTTTTGTATTTCTGTATTTGCTTAAATGCATTGGTAACGATTGTATAGAGATCAGGAAGCCAGTCTGACAAACACAAAAAAAATGTGAATCACTAGAACGTTTTGTGGGCAATAACATTCATTTACAAAGTTGGATGAATTGATTATTCAATGAATCATCCGCCTCAAGAGCTGTCTCATCTACAGACCACATGCAGAGACACATTTCATTGTTTGATTACAAAATGCAATCAGCCAAACAGGAGCCATAATGACAAATGGGATTACTTTATCGCATCAAATGTGCTGGAGAAAAACATTTTTTGAAGAAAGTCTTTTTTGAGATTTATTACAATGGAAGTGAAAGTGATGGTTCACCAAATCAGTGTCATTGATCTACATCATTAGTTCTCATACCTGGTACCACAGCTCTCACAACACTACACCAGATGTCTTTTGTATCCCATTTACACCTGATATTAATATATCTGCAATAGAGCCAGGTACAACTGAGCTTGTGCAATCATTTCCCTCTGATTTTAGAAATAACTTCTAAAGAATATTTGTGTCGACATTAAAATAAGTTTTGAAAAAAGCAGCCACAAAAACCGTTCACAACGAGTCACAGGAGATTGGCTCTTGAGATGCATGTAAACAACAGGTGTAGGCTAATTGGGTCCTTACACACTTTAATTTATACTTCAACATGAAACGGTTAATCGATTAATTGTCGACAAGAATTTACTTGATTAAATTAAATGAATTGTCGGCTAATTGAATATTGCGAACGTGACACGATATTCTCATGCGAGAGACCCGACACACACTTGAGGCGGCAAAAAAGACTCCAAACATGAGGAGCTCAAAACGGAGTGGTCTACCAGCTATAAACAGCGTGCTAACCTCGAAAATCCAGATAACAATAACTTAGCTCTCCTTATTAGCTAGCCAAGCTTGTCTCCTTGCATGCTGGCTTATAACTTTTTATAAAGCTGGGTCTGAAACATTAACCGTGCTGTGTTGGACAGATTTGTGAAGTGGTGTTCCATGAGGGAGAGCGAGAGCGAGAGGTACGGGTGAGTGAGAGCACGAGAGTAGTGCAGCGAGAATGCGCTACGGCACTCTGCAATCAAATACGATTTTAAATAGGCTTAGTAAAAAAAAAAAATAAATAAATTTTGAAAATGAATGTGTGGCGATCAGCGTTAATATTGTGGTGGCCGCCATAAATAAATGAACGTATGGGAAACTCTGCCCTCTAATGTTACTGTCACCTTCCTCATGGATGATTTAAGTTGTGTTCAGTTCTATATCTGATGTTTCCAAGTCTAGTAATTTTACTTTTACCTTTCTCAGACCAAGTGCTGCTGCAAGTTTTCCATGCAAGTAGTTTAGATTATTAAATGTAGGCTTAATATAGTGTACCCATATAGATTTTTATATTATTTTATAATGCTTCACATGCAACAGGTGAGCCAGAGCACAATTATTTTTTATGTATTTTAATTTTCTGTGCATAATTTATTTTGTTAACCTACATAAATGCCATTATCTGTACCGTATCCCAACTGTTACAATAAAACATCGATTAAGCAATATATCATGCATTTTTATTCGAATTTTTATGTTAAAGACACTATTTAGAAATATACATTCTCAGGAAAATAGCCGCTAATCAGTTATTCGTTAATCGATCCATAAGGTCGATCAACTAACGAATAATGAATTAATCGAAAATTTGCATCCCTACTTCAACAAAACTTCAACAAAATTTATGAACTTGTGTCATTTCTAATGTCACCAAACAGAATTGCTGAAATAATGCTAGTTTTCAGGTTTCCCCAACAATTCCCCATCTGCCAATGGTCAGACAAACCCAGTAGCTAAATTCACATTTTAACTTTAAATAAGAGAGAAATTCATAATCTACAGTGTCTATGAATGATGAACGGTGCATTCCACTATGCCTTCGGATTACAGGAAACTACTTTTTCTAGTTACTTTTCTGCAGAGATTAGCATGCCGTCTAGCATCTGTCTAATTCTGTTCATATCTAAGTATCAATTTGCCTTTTCCCATTTTGATTCGAGCTCGCTACAACAGGAGGCTGCATGACAGGAATAGCTAATTGTGCCAAGAGAATATTGGGCAGAGGTAAAAGGCAGATGGGTTTCAAAGCAGATCCGCCTCTCGAACGGCATTTTCAGAGACACCTTCAGGGCTCCTCCCAGCAATCTCACAGAGAGGCTGAAGTTGATGAGAAAATCTGAAACATGAGGAGTGTGGGTGCAGAAGAGTGTCTCTTCCACTCCCACTCAGGTCAATATGCACCACAGTAATTCATATCTGTTCAATATGAAACTATGCAAATCATTGTGCATATTTCCCTAAAGCACCAGTTTCACTGATTATGTGCATATATTGGGATTGTTTCACTTCTTTTGCACCAACATTTGTTTTTCATCTTCTATTGTGGGATGATAACGGCAAGTTTGGTTTTGTGCTTAAAGTGGGGAGTGTTTCTGTTATGAGGCGCTGTATACATGCAATTCAGTCCTCATGAAATTATAATCAGAGATGGAGTATGGAAATTAGCAAGAGTTGTTTTCTTGGGTGAAGCATGAACCGGTCTGGTAAAACGATGCTAAACCTAGGGGAATATGAAGAGACCAAGAGTCACATACTGTAGGTGAGTGAATCCTCAGGGAGAGAGAGGCTTGTTGCGGA